TGGGAGCCATTCCGTCGACGTATCACCAGGTCGTCAAGTTCCCAACGCCTTGGGGAATAGAGTCCATTCGGGGAGACCAGGTGGTAGCCAAGTCTTGCTATCAGACGGCCATGAAGCCTACAGCAAACCCTCCAACTTCAGCATAGCAACTAAAGGGTGACCCAGCTTTGGAGGAAGATGACGAAAAAACGGAAGAAGTAGTCATCGACAACGAGCATCCAGAACGGGTCATCCGCATCGGGACAAATTTGCCAGCAAGCCTCAGGGCTGAATTGGTCCAGTTTCTTAGACAACATAAAGATGTATTCGCTTGGAGTCACAAAGACATGACGGGAATTGACCCAAAGATCATCACGCACAAGTTAAATGTCAATCCGTCATATAAACCAGTCAGACAACGAAGAAGACGTTTCGCAAGGGAGCGGAACGACATCATAAACCAAGAGGTCGAGGCTCTTCTCCAAACCGGGAAAGCCAGAGAAGTCAGGTATCCAGATTGGCTAGCTAACGTCGTTGTCGTCAAAAAGAAGGCAGCAAAAGGAAAAAAGGCGAAATGGCGAGTGTGCGTGGACTTCACCGATTTGAACAAAGCATGTCCAAAGGATTCATTTCCCATGCCACACATTGACGTACTGGCCGATGCGACTGCCGGACACGAGATGCTCTCATTCATGGACGCCTTTAGTGGATATCACCAGATTCAACTACATTCTGATGATCAAGAAAAGACGGCCTTCATTACTGAAACAGGTACATATTGCTATGTTGTTATGCCGTTTGGTCTAAAAAATGCAGGTGCAACGTTTCAAAGGCTCGTCACCATGATGTTCAAAGATCAAATTGGAAAGACCATGGAGGTATACATAGACGATATGATCGTCAAGTTAAGGAAAGCTGGGGACCACGTTGACAACCTGGCAGAATCATTTAAGAAGTTGACGGAATACAACCTGAAGCTCAATCCGGCGAAATGCGCCTTCGGTGTGTCCTCAGGGGAATTCTTAGGCTATATCGTCAGTGAACGTGGAATAGAAGCAAGCCCAGAGCAGGTCCGAGCTATCATTGACATAGAATCACCAAAGTCAGTCAAAGATGTGCAGAGGTTGACAGGTCGAGTTGCTGCTCTGAACCGCTTCATCTCCAAGTCATCTGACAGGTGTCGCCTTTTCTATGACGTACTTCGTAAGAACAAGAAGTTCGAGTGGACAGATCAACACGAGCAGGCACTCCAGCGATTGAAGGAATATATGACAACCCCGCCATTGTTGACAAAACCAAAAGAGAGCGACGAGCTTCAGCTGTATTTGGCCGTCTCAGAACATGCTGTCAGCGCCGTGTTAACCAAAGAAGATGACGGAATGCAGACACCGGTATACTATGTAAGTAAGTCATTGAATGGACCCGAAACCAGGTACGCTTTACTTGAAAAACTAGTTTTAGCTTTGATTACTGCATCGGTTAAATTACGTCCATATTTTGAATCACATACTATTTGTGTGCGGACTAACTATCCCATGAAATCAATCATGAGGAAACCAGAATTGTCAGGTCGCATGGCCAAGTGGTCGATCCAGCTGGGAGCCTATGACATTCGGTACGAGCCACGAACTGCCTTGAAGTCCCAGACGCTTGCTGATTTTGTGGCGGACTTTAGCCCTAAGCTCCAAACCGAAGCCGAAAAGGAAGCATGCATCATCACAGACGGTCTGCCTCAACAGAAGTGGACATTGCACACAGACGGGGCGTCGAACTTAAACGGAGCAGGCCTAGGCATAGTGCTAAAGTCGCCACAGGGGGACACTATGCTCCAAGCCGTTCATTGTGATTTTAACGCCACGAATAATGAAGCGGAGTATGAGGCGCTGATCGTAGGCCTAACTTTGGCGAAGGATTTGGGTGTCAAGCTACTCCAGGTAAAATGTGATTCCTTGTTAATAGTTAACCAAGCTAATGGTGTTTATGCAGCAAAGGATCCCAAGATGACGTCCTACCTGCAAGTCGTCACGAAATTGATGGCATGGTTCGACGAGATCACACTTGAACAAGTACCAAGAGAAGAGAACACGCAGGCAGACGCTTTGGCCGCAATTGGGTCATGTCTGGGGGCAGAGGTCAATAGTAACATCCCCTTCGTCCACTTGACAAGTCCGGCAATTGACAGGTTGGAGTCCGTCAGCACAATCAGTTCGTCCTCACAAGATGACTGGACGCAGCCATACATAGCATACCTGAGACATAACATCTTGCCATCAGATAAAAAGGAAGCTAAGGCATTCCTCTCCAAGGTAACCAAATTCTTATTAATCGATGATGTACTGTTTAAAAGATCTAAAGCAGGTCCATACCAAAGATGTTTAGCACCTCAAGAGGCCATAAGGGTGCTCAAAGATCTTCATGAAGGCGAGTGTGGAAACCATGCTGCGGGGAGAAGTCTGTCCAACAAAGCTCTCCGCTTTGGATACTACTGGCCAACCATGCGGCACGACGCAGTCACCTTCACCCAAAGTTGCCAGGCTTGTCAAAAGCACGGACCGATCCGTCATCAGCCGTCTGAGTCGCTTCATCCGGTCCTCTCACCCTGGCCTTTTATGAAATGGGGAATGGACATCGTGGGAAAGCTGCCCGAAGCTCCAGGACAGAAGGTTTACATGTTGGCAATGACGGACTATTTCTCAAAATGGGTGGAAGCTGAGCCATTCCGTCAGGTACGCGATGAACAGGTAATATCTTTTATTAGACGTAATATACTTTGCAGGTTTGGCATTCCGTCGGAGATCGTGTGCGATAATGGGTCCCAGTTCATAAGTACAAAAACCCGACGCTTCTGCGAAAGGTACAACATCAGGTTGGAAACGTCGACTCCTAGGTACCCGCAATCCAATGGACAAGCCGAGTCTAGCAACAAAATCATTGTGTCCAATTTGAAGAAAAGACTCGAAAAAGCACAAGGCAGATGGGCTGACGAGTTACCCCTGATATTGTGGGCTGACAGGACGACTCCAAAGAATGCGACCGGACAGACTCCTTTCTCCCTGGTGTATGGTTGTGAGGCGGTCATACCAGCGGAAATTGAAGTGCCGACTTCAAGATACGGGCTTATGACTGAAGAACGGAACAACGTCGAGTTAATACATGATCTTGACACTATCGACGAAATTAGAGAGAAAGCTAAGATCCGTCTACAGTCCTATCAACAGATGGTGGCAAAGAGTTTTAACAAGAACGTTCGAGCAAAAGTGTTCAAGAAGGGAGATTGGGTTTTGAGAAGAGCATTTGGAAATGAAGCAAGTGGGAAATTCAGCCCCAATTGGGAAGGTCCGTATAAGATCGTTGACATTATCGGACAGGGGGCATATCGCTTAGAATCAATCGACGGTAAACAGGTTCCTAGAAGCTGGAATGCGGTACACTTAAAACTTTTCCATTTTTAAATCTTTTTATATCTTATTTAGTGATCCGATTAGAACGAGTCACTAACTTAAGCATCGGAGGGCCGTTGGCTAAAAGCCAACGGCCAGACTTAACAAAACTTTGAAGTGCAGGAAGCCGAGTGAAGCGCTGGGTAGGACCCTTGGATACGTCATACATCCTGGTAAGGGCCATGACATTTCGGGTATGACGGATCTGTCATAACGTCATGATTAATTTGCGTGTCACTTTGAAGTTTTGCCTTATCTTTCAAGCTGATCCTTGACGGATCAGTAAGTTTACTCTGGAAAATTTCATATCAAGATCAAGTCGAGATGATTGGATTAGAATACGTTAGGGATAATTTAAATGACGTCTCTCTAATTTTCCTTCGAAATATTCTGTACTCGTTAACCTGGTAAGCATGTCAAAGGTATGGTGTGTATTTCGTTCTTAAAACACGTGCATAATTGCTTACTGACTTAACCATCGGAGGGCCGTTGGCTCAAAGCCGACGGCCAACTTTGACGGTTTGTAATGAGTGCAGGGTCAACTTGAGACAAGCAGCAGAGAACCAATTTACGAAGGATGGAAAGCATCATTTATACCCTTACCAATTGGGTATCGTACATCAACATAAAAAAGGGAAAGGGTTGGGCTGCCCATGAGAGTATCATGGATTACAGTCCCAACCGGCCCTTACAACATATATGTTTTTGGCCAAAATCAACGAACATACATGACATCACATATATATACAGTACTAGTGCGCACACACAGGATACAAAAACAGACACATCAAAGTTTTTCACATCAAACATAGCAAAATGAAAGTCAGGCTTTGGATAAACCACCAAGTGCACAGGCATAAAGAGTCAAGAGTACATCCCATCCTGGATAAACCACCAGAATACCGGGAACAAGATCAGAGATGTTTTGGCAAAAATGCTAAAGAGTACAGAACAACCTAAGCATGTTGGGAGTCAGCCTCGCCATCAGATTGTCCTACGTCGAAGCCGTCTTCAGCAATGGGAGGATCCATGTCCTCTTGAACCTTTTTCCAAGTCGCAATATCCTCCTCAGCATTCCAGCCAGACGACTCACCCGCAAGAAAGGAAGCCATAAGTTCTCCCCTCGTTTGCCAAACATAGTAGCAAGCCGCGTCAGTGACTTCCTGTTTTTTCTTCCGACCATAAGCCTCCAGCGCTTTGATCCTGTCGACGAGCCTTGAGATTTGAGCAGATTGAGCTGACACCTCCTTTTGCAAGTCCTGGACCAGTTTTGCATTTTCTTCTGCTAAGGAGCGAGCAGTCGACTCCTTATGCCTGGATTCGTCGAGAGCCTTCTCCAGCGAAGCCACTCTCTCAGCAGCAACCAAACTCGCTTGTAAGCTCTGGCAGGACATACCATCACATCAGGAGGCTACTTATAAAGAAATAACTAAACAAAGTCGTGTTTACCTGAAAAGCGTAGGCCGAAGACGCAGACAGTAGTCCAGCGGGAGGCAGGCATTTGAAGACGTCTGGAGAGGAAGGAAGCATGAGCTTGTGCATTTCTCCCCTCATCAGGGACACGTCTTGTAAACTACAAAAGTCAGGGGAAAGTGACACCTTTACATCCAATGGCTTGGAGGTCAGAACTGCTTTGACCTCGTGAGGGCGCGGTACGTTTGGTTTGGTTTCAGCAGCAACAGCTAACTTGGGAAACTTCTGGGGAGTGGAAGCTAGTCGAGGAGAGACTCTTTTCTTCCTAGAGGCCAGAGCAAGCAGTTCATGAGCAGAGGGAACCAAACGAGAGCTAGACGAAGATGCGGCAGCTGCAAACATACAAGCATCATGAAACAAACACCACCTATTGAGAAACCCCAGTCAAAGGGCGTGACTGTGCTTACCAGTAGCTGGAAGGGGACACTTCTTTGGAACCATCTGAGGATTATCACCCACAGGAAAGACGACCTGCATTGGGGTATAGATGTCTGCATTCTCACCAGCACCAGTTTTCGAGGTGTCTGATTCCTGATCTGAGTCGTCAAGTGAGACTACAGACGAGCCTTGCATCAGATTAATTGAAGTCTTCATATTGCGATTAGAGCGCCTTAACCCAACAGATCTATCAGGAGTGAGAGTGGGGGGCATACCTGGAGATTCAGCGACCAGGTTTGCAAACCAACGTTCTTCAACAGGGATAACTTGAATTTGGGCTGTTCGCTCCTCCGACTTTGGTCTGTGAGGGATGGATATTGTTTTCTTTTCTGAAAAATCAAGGGTTGCAATTGATTACCAAATTTCAAACATATGTGTTAAAAAAAAAAAAAAGAAAAAAAGAGACAACAACAAATGAACACAAAAGATACAGAAGTTTTTGTGGTTTACCTTTGTGCAGGTTATCTTCAAGAAAGGACCCTTCGCCGCCAAGCGAGTCTTTGAGAACAAAAAAATACCAATGCATCCAGCCCCTGTCATTTGCCTTGTCGACCATGTGAATGAGCCTCGGTTTCCTATCTTTCATCGCCAGAGTGAACCTGCCAGGCCCTGAAGTTCGGAGTTCATAGGTGAAGCCCAAGTCCTCGAACTCGAAGGGAATACCATACTTTTCGCTCACAACCTCCAGTGCACGAAGAATCCTCCACACCTGAGGCATAATCTGAGAGGGCGATAGGTTCACAAACTCCAAGAAGCCCCGGGTTAGGGGAGAGAAGGGAAATTTCATCCCAATCTTGAAGGGGTAGTACAGGAAATTCACCCAACCAGGGCAGAACCAGTCCATACGCTCGTTCGCCGCCGGAAAACGGATAGTCGCAGTGGGGGGAAAGCCAGCAGAAGTCTGAATAAGTTCTACTTGTTCCTCAGTAAGTTTTGCTTGTTTGGCACTTTTGGGTTCGAGGATGTGCTGCGGAACGAAGCCTGGGGAAGCCATGGGAGCTGACGGGATGGTTGCAGAGGAAAGAAGGAGGAAGGGTTTCGAAGAAGGAAGAGGAATATGGCGAGTAATTCGGTGGAGGTAATTATGAGTATGAGAAAGTAGTCGGCTACACAACTTCCAAGACGGTTTGGTTTCAAATTCGAAGTAGCAATTGGGCAGACGGTTCGTTTCTCTCAACGCCAATTACTTCATCGAATTGGGGGCAATTGTTGGGCCAGGAAATTTCCGTCAAATGAAGGGGCCCAGCAGTGGATTTATGAGTTAAGGCATGCGGCCCATTTTCCAAGCAGTATAGACGAAGTCCAGCAAGAAGAGTCCAGTTCGGCCAGGATAAGAGTGAAGCATACTTGGAGCAAAAGAAATGACTTGACACGTTCAAATATAGTGCCGCCTATTTCGGCGGGCAGTTAAGGAGCTGATAAGAGAGGAGAAGGCCAATTTAAATAGGATACGTTGTAAATAGAAAGGCATCTTTTTCATTGATCAATTACTACTCGAACTGCTTACTCCATTACTAACGAAACTCATTCGTATTCTAAAAGCTTTCATACCCGGATTCTAGCACAATACTTGTGTAATTTCTTGTGCGAAGCCTAGTTACTTTATTCTTAATTGTTTGGAGAAATTGTTAGTTTCTTGCTTAAACAGACTTAATGAAGAATATGCTAAAAAATATTTATCAAAAAATTCCACCGGGAACCACCCCAAATAGTGACGGCCGGACAAAATCTCATATAAAAAAAGGGATGATTTGAACTTTTTATGTAAGTTCGAGGGCCCATCTCACCTTTCCTCATAAATTTTTCATAAGAAAATGGTAGATATCATATCTATTACTACTATTTCTATTATAATTTTCTTAGCATTAATTCGTCAGAAATTTTATTTTCCAAAATTAAAATTTCTAGATAACATCTTAATATCTTATTATCAATTTAAAGAACCGGTCTGGTTCAAGGCCTTGCCAAAGGTTTGAAGTAGGGTTGCACAAGAATAACCCGGACCCGCATAACCCACCCGAACCAACCCTACCCGACCTTATTTAATCGGTCATTTGATTTTTAAAAGTATTCATGGGTTAAATATGTTTGAACCCGCACCTAAAGGGTAGGGTTGTGGAATTAAAATCTCAAACCCGATAGTACCTGACCAGGCCGAAGTTCATTTTATAATTATTATGCTACAACGTTTTCTTGGATAATTTCAATTTAAGACCAATGTGCTCTATCCAGGACTTTAAGATATTAGAATTATAACTAAACATTTATCATTTTGACTAGGTGATTATTATATATTTACGTTTCCGTCTAAATGAACTTCCTTTACGGAAGGATGTTTTAATACTATTACCTAATGTTTTTGCTTATAAAAGATACGAGTACATGTATTTGTTTGTGTGTTTTGGAAACAAGTTAATCGAGTTTGGTTACATTAATTTCCCACATGAAAGATGCAACTCAAAGTGATTTTTTTCCGTAATACCCGACCATACCCGACCCGTTCCATGCATGGTTTACCAACTTATTTTGCGTACCGCGAGTGGGTTAATAGTCGACCCGAATAAATCGGGTAGACCCAAAAAATATAGCAAACCCGACCCAACCCGTCCCAGCCCGTCCCACGTGGCGTCCCTAGTTTTAAGGGTAAGTCGCTCCAGGTGGGTGAAAAAGATCTCTGGGTGGGTCTTCACACAGGAAAATAAAGAAACGAAGCTGCCACCGCTCGCCGACCGGGTTGCTTTAATCGCCCGACCACCTTCAGTCGTTTAGGTACGATCCTGATTCCTCGCTCCATAGACCTGCGTCCCAACGTTAACGTGAGGAAGACGACCTAGTCGTCCTTTTGTTTTATTAAAACTGTACTGGATTGTTTTATTGGGGGTGGACCTATAATTTAGGCCGTTTTTATTCGTTCTGGCCTATTATACGAAATTATAATAATGATCATAGTAAAGTTTTTTTCTACATGGTGAAAAAAGTAGCAAATTAATCATAAAGCTTTTTTTGAGTTCCTACGTTGTGTCAAAACTCAAAAGGAAATTTCATATAGATTGTATCACAATTTTCAAAAATCAGATCAGAGAAACTTGCTTTAAAAAAATTAAAGTTGTTACAAACATCTCTACATATAACTTGCAAAAATGTACTGCCATACATATCCAAGTGTATTTGTTGCATCTAATTCTTGAAAAACAAACTTGAAGACCCTGAACTTTTCAGTTGCTATACATTGCTAATTCTTGAAAACATCTCATTGCTCAGTTGCTATACATTATTATTATTGTTGATGGAGCTTTTCATTATAATGTAGACCCTGAACTTTGTCATCTGTGTCATTATTTGGTTAACCACTGGACTGGACATCTCATTAAAATCCTAGAATACAACAAATTAAAAGAGATGATTCTGCAGCATGTGAAAAACAATATTTGCTATGAATCTATTTTGACTGTTTTTTTATTTTCTGTAAAATCAAATATCACAAAGCACTTTTTAATCAGTCATCATTTCACTTTGAAATAACTTTTTGTTTGTCTTGAACATGTGTAAACATCATGAAATCAATATTTCCATTGTATGTTTTTGCAACAAATGCATACCCAAGCACAAATACATTCACAGACTATTCCCTAAAATGTTTGGGAAACCATACCCAGACCTAAGATATAAATTTGAAACAATGTGTTATATATAGGCAAAAGTATAGAGTATCATATATACTAAAATAGCCACATACCCGGGTATGGAGGTTTACCCCATCGTCTCTTTCCTTTGTTAATTTGGGTTGCAGATTTAATGTGACAAACTTTTCCTATGTAAGAACTGATGTGACAAATTTTTCCTTCGATATTCATATTTTTCATATTACTAAATAGTATGAAAATATACATATCGAAGTCGGCTTTTAAAAAGTTGCCCTTTCTTATCCATAAATGGTTGCTCTTGTAAAGCTGTAAATGGGTTGAAATTGGCCGGTTTTTGGGTATGAGTCATGGGTTGAAACAAGACGTCCTCATTGAAATTTGAACTCTTCATAATCAATAAAAGTGATTAAAATAACACACCCAAATCAGATAAATTATAACTCCAAGCCTCCCTATATCACTGTCATTTGATAAATGATTAGTGGTTGTATGTTGATTAGTAACATAGTTCATAATTGTTGTCTGTTTATTTGTTCCGCACGACTGCACTTGTTGAATGTGGATGTTGCAGTTAATAGATTTCTTGATTAATTGATTTGAGTAGCGATTTAGTTAATTAATTCGTAATGGTTAGCTTTAATTAAAGTATTCAAGTAACTTTAAATTTTCTCTATTTTTATTTTGTAACTGTGATTGTATTTAGTTTAATTTAACGCATTTAAAAGTCTTTTCTTAATTTAAAGGTCTTGAATTATTGTCATTATTGTGCAGGTTAGTTTAGACAGAAAATAACTTTACATTTTTATTAAGATTGAGCCCATTATATTACCCTCCCCTAGGCCTTGAAAGAGACAGAACCAGCCTTGATCTTGAGGGTTTAAACCAGATTCATCTAGCCTCTTTTTAATGTAACTAGCTTGTTGCTGTTTTATTTATTATATCTTTTGCACTGTTGTTTGATTTATTAAATCTTTTGCTTTCCTGGTTGATAGATAAAAGTATAAAACTGCTATGCTAATTAAAAGAATACATCAAATGAAAACCATCAGGTGGTGAGGAGGAAAGTAGGAAAGTATAAAATTGCTATGCTGAAAAAGTATATCAAACTATTTACAGAATTGCTTTAGAAGGTGTGTGCACTTCAAATGCATTTTATTAATAATACTAATAACATATTTATTTTAATTTATTTAATTTAATACTCCATCTGTTCTTTATTATCTGTCCTCTTAGGCTTTTGCACGGGTTTTAAGAGGAAAATAATAGGGGTAGTGTAAAAGCTGTAGTGGGTCCTGGGTAAATGAAAAAATAGGAAAGAGAAAGGGGTAATGATAATAAAAGTAGGGGTATAAAGGTAATTTGATTGAAAAAACTTACCAAAAAGGGAAAGAGGGACAAATAATTAAAAATGTCCCAAAAAGGAATACGAGACATTTAATAAAGAACGGATGGAGTATGTAAGAAATCATTTTTTATCCACTAATAGTGGGCAAATTGGAATATTACATAAATCAGAATTTTTGGTAGTTAACTAGCTTGGAAAATATGCTATTAGGATGAAAGTGTTGTTAGGTAGTAAATCTAAATTTATTATATGTAAACTCAATTTGACAGTCAACAAAATTTAGATATTTAATATAGTTATGTAATATAAATCATATTTTTTGGTAGTAACTAGCTTGGAAAACATGATATTAGGATGAAAGTGTTGTTAGGTAGTCAATCTAATTGATTATATGTAAATTTAGTTTTACAAACAGTCAACTAGATTTAGATAAAAAATGTTATACGAATTTCAGATAGTTAAGATAGTCTAATAATTAGGATAAAAATGTTGTTTGTGCTTTGGATTTGTTCATTCAAATGACAGTGATTTACGGTGACTTGGAGTTATAATTTATCTGATTTGGGGTGTGTAATTTTAATCACTTATATTGATTATGAAGAGTTTAAATTTCGAAGAGGACATCTTGGTTCAACCCATGACTAATACCCAAAAACCCAGACCAAACCGACAAATTTCAAACAGGGTGGGTAAGATCCGGTTTCTACTATGAGTATTCATGTACCCGGCTCTTGCCTGATCAGCAGAACCGGTGGTTCACATTCTTATAAGATTATCTGACCCAAACCAATCCCTAGTAGCATGTATTTATCGTAAGTTTTGATAGTTAATTTTGACGGGGTAAAGTTTGATGACGGCAGATCTAGAAGTTTGGCAAGGTTTAATCTTCTTTGAGATAGCTTGATTCTACTTATACCATCGATATAACCCTCCTCTTAGTTGCAGAATGGTGTATATTATATAAATATAAATGTATATAAAATTAGAGGATTAATTTTGGTTTTTACTTTTTACTCTGAAGAGCAATTGGGTTTCGAATTTCAAATGGTCTTTAGAGGGAGAGGAGGAAGAGGACGCGGTGGATTTTCCTTCGGAAAGCAGCAGAAATTTGACCTATTTCCAGAAATCAAGGATGAGAACTTAGGTAAGGCAACCATGCTTACCGAAAGGAGATCTCTAGCACTTTCATATGCAAGGCTGAAGAGGTATTGGAATTCCTCAGCATACTTTTTGGGTGATGACATTGATGTTTCAAACAAAACAAAAGGCATGGATATAGAAAGGTTTTCAGACATGAATTCAAATAGATCTAAAGCAAAACCCCCACTTTTGGATTTCATCTTGATTACCCCAGACTATTTTCCTGCTGAATTGGTAAAAGCTGAAAGGAAGACGAAACGTCCTGCAAAAAGAGTTCGCTGGACTCAGGAGGTAGATTTGCAAAAGTTGGATGTCTTTGAGAAGCTTGAACAGAAGGGCATTGACCAGGATGAAAAGAAATCTGACGATGAAAATGACGAGGAAGAAGAAGAGAATTCTGAGGAAGATGAAGCGTCTAGTGATAATGGTGACTATGAGCAAAATGTTCATTTTGACGATGATGACGATGACTTCAACATGGATGAGGGCGATGCTGATGAGCCCACATATGATTGACGTTTCTCGGTATTGTATTTTATTTTATTTTCGAACTGCAAATATTCTTTCCTCTCTTTCACCCCCCTCTAGAACTGCTGCATTTATTCATTTATATTATAATCCATCTTGTTGAAGCTGCCTAAAATTTCAACACCTTATTCAATTGACTAGCTAAAATGTATCCTACTATATTTCCTAATGTGCAGGCTATGAGAGAGGTAACCCTTTGCAAACTGTTATTACAAATTTACAATGCCTTATGTGCACATGGTTATGAACAAGACTAGTAAGCGTCAACCTCCCATATGAATGCATAGGACTTATACAATTAACAATTGTATGTTTTACTCGAAAACAGGAAAACAGCTTAGAAGATACGCCATATGTATTATTTCATCATAACACTTTTCGGGGTCTGTATTATTTTGGAGTAGTTTATATTTACAAACCTATATAAAAAAACTATGAGGTGTATCCTGTATGTAGTTCAATGTCTAGAAATGATTCGAGACAAGAATTATTTATGATTATTTCTTAAACCATCTGAGCATTAGATCCTCTTAAAAAAATCAAAATACATTTTTTTTTAATTAGAGGATAAGATATAACATCATAAATTCTGTAGTGTCAATAATAAAAAGTGTAAACAAATATACTCCACTGTATAGTTCTTATTATACAACCATAGATATTATAAATAGATAGTACAAAATTGTAAAAATTATAAGAAGTCTTATAAACCAGAAATGTAAAAAGGAATTATAGACTACAGCTTACTGTACTTCAACTAAATCTTTCAAACATAGGAACACTAGAAAACTGCGGAGTGATTTCAAGATTTAGAAAATCATCCACAGATCTGTAATGATATTTGCATCTCCAGAAAATATAGAGCGTATAAAAAATTGACTAGAGCTTAATGTTGAAATTATTTATTTATTTATTTATTTATTTATTTATTTATTTTTGCTGAAATGAGACATTTTAAATTGATTTGGTAAAGATTTGTGAAAATTTCTGACTAAAATCTGAAGACGTTTTCATTTGCACTGATTGGACTAAATTAAATTTGACCATAACATGTTATGCAAAAATAAAACAGATCAATCTAGATTAATTTACAAGCTGAAGTGCTGAATTGAACTGAATCTCTTCTCGTCAACAAATAGCTTTTTTGTTTTAATAAACCAAATAGCCTTAATAATAGATGGTGGTTTTCCTTATTGAAGTCAAATATTTTATTTAACTAATGTGACCACATCTATTCTTTTACCTTCACAATACCATGTGGACTACAGTCTACAGTACAACACACTCATGCATTACCCAACATACACGTCTCAGATAATCATGTTTGCTATCTATTCCATCTCCTATAGCTTTCAACATTTTCACACAGCTTTTTCACCCGAGGTTATAATGTTATATATTGGCATACATATTGAATTGTAAATTATTAATGATCAAGACTTTTTGTCTGACTGATTTTTCTCAACTCTTCTGTTAATAGTCATGACTTCTAGTCTATATTTGTGTGATATGATCCATCCACAATACTATTTGGTTTGTCTGATATTATTTGTATTTTTCTTTTGCAATTTTCCAGATTTTGATGGCCTAGCAGTTTCCGAAAAGTTTTTTCATAGTTTTTTGTAATCTTACGAAAGAAATAACAACTTTATGTGCTCTACTGCTCAGGACATTGCAACGTAAGTGGTTTGACCTTTCTATTCATGCTGTCTTTCAAATACATGAACTCAAATAATGAAGCAAGGGGCATTTGATTTGGTGCAGTTTCAATGCTTAGAGAACACGAGTGGAGCAAGGGACAACTCAATCTGATCTCTTTTTACATATTTTATATCTGAGTTTTTATATGATATTTTTACTGTTCAATTGTTACTTCATGGCAATATGAGAACCTTTAAAATTTAGGGATAAAAACTGTTTTGATTCACAATACTACTTCACAAATTTAAGCTAAGCTATTATGACGTACGAATTGCCTTCTCCAGACTCCAATCATATTTGTCATTTGTGTGATATGATCCATCTACACAATACTATTTTATTTCTCAGGAAGAATTTGTATATCTTTCTTTTGCAATTTCCAGATTTTGATGGCCTATTAATGGCCGAACAGTTTGCTAAAAGATTTTGATAGCTTTTTGTATCCTTGAGAAAGAAATAGTAGCTTTATATGTTCTGGCTAGCCTTTACAATCTGACTTTGCAATCTATATATAACTTAAGAAGTTATATATATCTTACAAAGTTACGCTCTCAAGAATTTATATATATCTTACAAAATTCAATGAAAATTAAAGTTCAGTGTATATCATTCTCGATGTGAAGTGTTTGCATATTTGAGGAATTCATTGAAGTTCTCCGAGAAATGCCAAGTTACAAACATTTGTTTGCATTCTTTGGTGCTAGAAAAAGCAGGGGAGGGTATTTTCAGCAATTTCATTGATAAGCTTGATAAATTATGGATAATTTTGTGACTATGGCTATTCCCGCCGCGCACCTCTTACTCAATCAATGCAGTTTTCTCCATTTTGTCTAGAGCGGTTTGGTCACTTTGGTGCGAGTTTACTCAGATTAGTCACAATGAATGTTCTAAAAAGTGCTAGGCGCTAGTCGGATGTCAGCTTAGCGCCTAGGCGGCTAGGCAGGCGCCTAGTTGAGGACTAGTCGGAGACAAAAAATTGCATTTTTATCTATAGTTTTGCATAAATATGATAAGTAATATTGTATTTTTGTGTATATAAAATTCATATATACATATACATTAACAAACATGAATGATAGAATTATCACATTTAATCATACGTAGCACTCCGTATATGATAAATAATCACTTAACTTCATTATGTTATAAATATAAATAATGATGAAATTTAGGTGTATTTATATATAAACATATATAGTTTTATCTTAATGTCCCAATTTGAGGATCGGCCTATTCAACCCTCGTATGGACGAACGTCCAAGCCCAATAAGGGTAACAGGTAAAGACGGGCGTCTCCACTGAACCGTGTCAGTTATGCCTTAAAGCCCAAGGCAGATGCGACGTACGACCTGCAACCCTTTGCGATACAACCAATGAAAGCCCCAGAACTCGGGAAGACGCTTGTCTCCAAGAATGGGCGAGAAACCTAGATACTGTCGGGAAGCGCATTTAATGTTGGAAATTTGGTGGTTGAAGCTTTAGCCATCCACAGCCCTCCACGTCAGCATAATCAACTGTCCCTTCGTAGTATAAATAGTAGCATTTAATGCATTGTAAAGGGTTGACAACTTACCCGACTTAGCATTCTAGCATTTTGATAGCTCGTAGCTTACTGTCCGCTGCTCTTCTACTTGAGTGTGAGACGAACGGCCGTTGGCCTTAGCATAATGCAGTGTAACGAGACTTTATTAGATCGTAATAATACTTGGCCCATTATTGCATACATTTCTTAGCTCATCTTACTTGCTAGCATCTCATACTCACATACTTCATCCACTCGAAATCTGTAAACTTACGTGTTGGGCCTACGGGTTGAAGAAATAAACCTCAACACCCCTATTTAATTTTTTTACTCCATATTTTAAATTGTTAGTTGTGCGGAAAATGATTACGATAATTCCTTAAACACCTAGTCTTCAATTAAATACGTAGTATGAAATAATGACCTAGATATTACCTATGTACTTTGCATTGTTATCAGATTTAGCCAATGTTAGTGTTACAAAACGGCTATAAGTGGAAAGTGTGTAACTTTTAGCATTATAAAGTCACAACAATTTGTATACCAGATAAAATTAAATCAAGTAGTCAGATTGTCATAAAATAACTATCACTTTTTTTATTTTGAAATCTTTTTAGTTATTAAAAGCTAACAACATGGGCAAATGGTAGAGTCTAGGGTGGGCTCCCACATAAAATCTAGCTCGTGTTCTAATCTGAAACTCGTTAAATCTGGGTCGTTAAATTTGATTCGAAATCAAGCTCGAACTCAAGTAGTTAAAAAAAACTCGATTCGATATTAACCTTAAGCTAAACCTTGTGTGCAGTACATGTTTTTTTACTGTTTAGCCCACTCAATCTTTCATTTTTGGATCCGTTAATGATTAACTATCTAATATATTTATAAAAAATATCTTTTCAACTATGCTTGTCAAACATATCTTTAATAATATTTAAATTTGTCTAGAACTTATCCAAAATTATGTATGAGATTTTTACAAAAATATTATTAAAATAAAACTTATTTACACAAATATGACTATTAATTACTACAATATAATATTATAGTAACTCAAGTTTAAAAGTTGAACATAAGTTACTATGATTTCATTAATACTCTAACCACCTAAACAACTTTCATTTTAGTCACAAATATATGTAATTATTTCATTATTATATACAGAAATTGCCCTAAATAGGAGCAAAAACGTTTTGAAATTCCAAAATAGGAGTATCATGTTTTTTATTCCCTGAATATGAGTAATCTTCCAAGTTTGGAAAAAAATGTCATGTTAAAAGCCTTGTAATGCCAAACTTGACAGAAATTTACTCCTATTTAGGAAATAAAAAACATGATACTCCTATTTTAGAAATTCAAAACATTTTTACTCCTATTTAGGGAATTTTCTCTATTATATAATCATACAACTCATAACATTAAAGTCATCAAACTGTAAAGTCATCAAACTTTTTTTTTTGACTTACAAGTCATTAAAGTCATTAAACAAACCATTGGCATTCTCAATTTCTTCCCACCAAAATTCTGTCTCGTGACCCCAGCTCCTTCCAATGGCGACAGCTTCCTTCAAATCTACTTCCAAACGACAAACCACAAATCCCAATTCCAGGGAAAACCCCACCCCCTCTTCCTGCTCCTCCAAGCCGCTACGACGGAGATCCTCAAGCGTTAGCTCCGTTTCTCGGATTTCCAGTCAACATGCTTCATCAGAGTTTTCGAACAAGAGAGACAATCCTTTGTTCTGGACCTCGAACTCTCCGCACATTGATCAAGTCGAAAATCCAAAAGAAATCGGAAATGATAAAGAAAAGGAGAAACCCCCCTTTGATGGATTTAGTATCGGCAAAGTTACTCCGGGTTCTGCCAATTGCAGTACTAACATAGAGATTGAGAATAGAGGACGATCTACAAGTAGAAGGTCTGGGAGTGATAGGAATGGGATTGGACGTAGTCTTTCGCGTGTACGCTGTCGTTCTGCGTCTAGAGGGCACTATGGATCTCCTCACGAGGTTTTGGTTCAGACTTCTCATCTATTCCGTTGATTGATGTCCATCCAGGAGACGTCTTTGTGTATATTTGAATGTTTCACGGTTTTCCTCATTTAAAACTCCAGCTTTTGTGTGTAGAAGTTTCATGCTCATACACCCACACGAAATGATCATATATGTGATTTTCGCATTCAATTGATTATGTTAGTGCAGAGAAAATAATTCCCTAAATAATTAATTAGTTATTAATCAAACTCTGTGGACAGAGTCACTGATTAGGCTGCTAAGAAATAATAACATATACTAGTACTTCTTATAAGTGTAAAAACTAAAGATGACAGACAAAGACATGACTTCTGATACCAAATGACTTTATTAGTTACTTTTAGCTACTATTTTTATTTTTAGTTCTTACGCCCCAGTGGTCATGAAGTTATGCATATAGTAACTTTAGTCACTTTTTGCCTATTAGTTTGTTAGAGTAATATTTTGGGGGAAAACTCGTGCTAATTACACTATCATTAAAATATAATAGGAACCAAGAGAACTGGTATACCACAAACTCCACTCATTACTGGGGTTTAAGATTGATTAGGGTGTCATCTTTTGAGCTGTAACTGCACATCAACCTTTGCAAGACACCTTAGACAATGCACAGCAAGGCACTGCAGACAAAGCTAGATCAAGGCCCAAGGAAGTAATTAATATACTCCATCCATTCCAAAAACAACTTCCCAGTTTGACTTACGCATATATTTATGCAAGATAAAGTTTTGTTTTAAATTTCTAATTATATTCCATACTTTATGACAAATCAAGTAAAAGAAATGGTAGTCATGACGTTTGCTATTGAAAATATATTGTTAATGGAAATGAGAAGTTTATTTTGTGACAACCACATAAGGGAAGTGGAAAGTTGTGTTTGGGACACAGGTAGTAGTAGGTAATAAAAATTATAAGTTAATAACGTCGACCATAAAGAGATATAGAATTAAATCTAATAGTACTAGTAATATTATGGTTATTATCAGTGGGAAATTGTTATTTTTTAAGTTACCTTGAGAAAATGTAAAACTATGCACTCAGTCACTCTGGATATCCAATTACTGTTGGATATTTGGTTCCAAATAAGGATAGACTGAAACATCGGGATAGTGAAGCAAACATGGAAGGCCCTTACTCCTTAGAAATATGCCTAAAATGGAAGATACTTATGAGATAGATATAATTGTATACATTGAATTGTTTTATTATGAGTTACTCCCTCCGTCCCATAATTATCTTCATTCTTTCCTTTTTGGTCCGTCCCAAATTTATCTCCTCTTTCCCTTTTTAGCAAAGGATTTGTGGTTCACAACCATTCTTACACATTTCTCTCTCCTCTGCACAACTCTCCACCACACATTTCCCACTTTCTTAATCTCCGTGCCCAGTCAAAACCGAAGTTAATTCTGGGACGGAGGGAGTATGACTTATGAGGACTGAGATGATAAGCACGAAGGTTGTAGCAATGAACAGTGAAAATAAGACTTATGATTACACACTAGCTCAAGTGAAATTGTAGAATATTGTAAAATTTAAGTTTCAATTTTGAACTATGGTTTTGTTATGGTTCCGTATTATTATTTTTGTTGTCCCTTTTATTGTTGTTCTTATTACTCCGTATTTATTATCACTCCATCTCATTTCAAGGTTCTTTGTGAAATTTATGATGATTGTGTGATGATAAATTTAACTCTTCTCTGAAAGTATTCAATAGCATGTGTGTGTATGTATTGGTATTAATAAATCATAATTAAAATATACATACAGTGACTACCCTAGAAGCTCTATTTTATCCCAAAAACTTTAAAAATTATCATACAACAAATAGTAA